GAAGAGGAAGAGCATGTTGAGGGGCTGGGGGGCGGTGCCTCAACGTCTACACGCGGATGATGTTCGACAGACAGGCTGGCGCACCCGTGCACGCATGGCGTGCGTACGCCTCCAGCTGCAGGCCTTGTCTGTCCGTTCGCCAGTGGCATGCCAGTGCTTGGAAGTCATTTCATTCTGCACCGTTCCGAGGAGAGAAGGCGCAGGAAGAGGAGAAGGAGCAGCAGCAGCAGCAGCACCAGGAAATGGCGAGGAGGAGGAGGAGCAGGAAGAGGAGGAGGTGGAGGAGAAGGCCCTCCTCCCTCCCTCCCCCTCCCTTTTCCCTCTCCCCCTCCTCTCCCTCCCTTTTCCATCTCCCCCTCCTCTCCCTCCCTTTTCCCTCTCCCTCCCTTTTCCCTCTCCCTCCCTTTTCCCTCTCCCCCTCCTCCCCCTCCGCCGGAGCACGCGCCGCTGGCCCGCCCCTGGCATCCGGGGCCGCCAGACGATCCAGCGGTTTGAGCGGGCATGCCGCCAGCGCCGCACGCCGCGGGCCTCTCTCGGACGGGGCTGGGACGAGGATTTACACGTTGTTCCTTTCTAGCAATTCGAAAGTTCTCATTTCTAACTGTTCTGTCCTGGGCCTCTTCCTGGCCACTAGGGGGCCAGGAACAATTAGAAACGAGCACGGTTAGAAGTGAACGACGTGTATCCGTTCCAGAGCGTTCTGGAGCGTTTTCAGAGCGTTCTGGAACGCTGTGTGGCGCGCCTGCAGCGGACGCGCGCGACCCCCGTAATGGAAAGAGAACGTGCTCTCTCTCTCTCTCTCTCTCTTAGCACGGGTTCCTCCATTGGCACATCGTGTCTCTTTCTATTCCGCACAGCTACTACAGTGCATTCCAAAAAGTCAGTTCCAGAGCGTTCCGGAGCGCTTTCCCAGCGTTCCGGAACGCTGTGAGAAGGCCGCGGCGCCCGCGACTTCCAGGGCCGCCGGATCCCAGAGATGCTCGATTCATCTCGATGATCCTCAGAACGTGTGTTAGCCCCAACGTGCGTTTGTCCATCGAGGCCCTTCGATACGACACAGTCGATTTAATGATCTACTGGTTGGGCCGGAAGGGGTAACCACACATTGGGCTAACACACGTCCTGAGGATCATCGATCCTTTCTGGCCGAGGTTACCCTCGCCCTGGCTTCGTCGTGTTACGCCAGTCGCCGCACGCCGCTGGCCTCTCGTGGCGGGAACAAGCTTGACTGGCGCGCACGACCTGCAACGGCGACAGGCGCGCCAAGAAGCAGCTGTGAGAGTGACTTCAAGAGTCGCGCCGCGCCTTCGACCAGAGGCAGGCAAGGGTGGCAGAGGCTGCGGCGGGAATCCGTATTGGAACACAGGCTGTCCACTCCTTGCACAGCGGCCGCTCCTGGGATCCGTACCGGAACACGGGCTGGGCTAGCACCACTTGCTGGGCCATCGGCATCAGCACGACGACCGTGCACCTCACTAGCGATCCCTGTTCGCGAGGGAACACGGAACGGCCGAGAGATTTTCAGAGGAGCAAGAGGTCATGATAATGATGCGTTCCAGGATTTGTTCTGGTCTTCCAGATTTCCACTCTGCTTTCATGCTCCGCACTGTTTGCGCCGTTAGATACAGTCAACCCGCATAGGAAGGATATGCAACATTCCCGAGCCCCTTGCATCCTCGTTTCCTCGGTCCATCCTTGGCCTCTGTCGCTGGCCGCGCCCCGCCCGCAAAGTGCCGACATGGCCTTCCAAGGCCTTTGCATCCTCACCGCGCATCCTCCTGAGACGGGTCGATTGTACCTGTGGGAATCCTGGAACGTATCCTGAGCCGGTCTCATCAGGACATCATTCGGGAGGGGAACAAAAAACACAGACACAACGAATCGTCGATTCCCGGGAACGTGTGAGAAAACAGGGGAAGCTGGGGGGACGGCAGAAAACCCCAAAAATATACAAAAAATATGGGGGGTCCTTTTATTGGTGTGCAGTTATTTGTGTGTCACAGGGCCCCTTCAGTCATCCTCGCCCTGCTCGTCCTCCTGGCCCTCATCCTCGCCCGCCTCGTCATCCTCCTCGCCCTGTCGTCTTCCTCTTCGCCTTCCCCGTCCTCTTCCGCACCCCCAGACGTGTCGGCAGGGCGGCGCGGCGCGGACGAGGCCCCTCCCCCCCTCCGCGGGCCTCCTCCTGCGCCTCCTTCCCGCCTCCGTGGTCGGCTTTCCGGCTCTTCCAGGGAAATGTTCCCCCCCCCCCCCCCCTCCTCCCTCCTCCTCCTCCTCCTCCTCCTCCTCCTCCTCCTCCTCCTCCTCCTCCTCCTCCTCCTCCTTCTCCCCCTCCGCCTCCTCCTCCTCCTCCTCCTGCTGCTCCTCCTCCTCCTCCTCCTCCTCCTCCGCCTCCTCCATCTCCCCGTTCCTCCCCCCCCTCTCTGCAGGAGGGAGCGGGAGGCGCACGCGTCCAGCCCACGCCAGGCCTTCTGGCCCAACCCGCCCACGACCCCCCTCTCAGGACCTGGAGTCCCGGACAGACCAGGACGGCCCGGTCGCACGCGCCCGCTGGGCGCGTCTGAGGCCTCTTCCTCCTCCTCATCCTCCTCCTCCTCCTCCTCCTCCTGCCGCTCTCCCCTCCTGCTGCTGCTCCGCCTCGTCCTCCTCTTGCCCTTCGTCGCTCCCGCCTCCTCCTCCTCCTCGTCCTCCTCCTCTTCATTCTCCCCCTCCTCCTCCTCCTCCTGCTCCTCCTCCTCCTCCTCACTCCTCCTTCTCCTCCTCCTCCTCCTCCTCCGCCTCATTCTCCTCCTTCTCCTGCTCCTCGTCCTCCATTCCTTCGCCCTACGAGTAATTTCTCGCTGTCGCAACCCGAGGCAAATTTTTAGGACGGGCCGGGCGTTTCGCCTGAGACTTCTTCACCGCCTATGATTCTGAAGCTTACAAAGTGGCAGCAGTTTTACGTGTGGAGGGCGGGCCGTTTTCCACACGTGGCTCTCGCTTCCGCGCCGCGCACATTCGTTTTGCCAATTTGCAAGATTGAGGACGGTTCTTTTTCAATATGGGGCTCTCGCCTTAGCGCCGCGCACATTAGCTTCTTAGATGTTGCAAGAGATGTCACGGATTGGGGGCGAGTGGTTTTCAATGCAAAATATGGCTCTCACCTTAGCGCCGCGCACACTCGTTTTAAACAGTTGCAAGAGTTTCACGGATTGAGAGCGGGTCGTTTTCAAAATGTGGTTATCGTTTGAGCGCCGCGAACCGTCGTTCTAAAACATTGCATGAGCTTCACGGATGGCGAGGGCGGTTCTTTGTCAATGTGTGGCTCTCGCCTGAGCGCCGCGTGCACTCGTCTCTTGAACATTTGCAAGAGATTCGCGGGATGAGGGCGGGTCGTTTTCAGAATGTGGCTCTCGCCTCGGTGCCGCGCACATGCGTTTTTTTATTTACAGTTATACATACGCAGATGTTTCAAACAATCAATGAATTTCACGGGCTCCCACGACCAGCGTAATAGAGGATGATGATTAATAAATGACCGGGGGTCGTGTTCACGCGGCGGCGCCCGGGATGACGATTAGAAAAAACCGGCCGCGGGCTGGAAAGCTATTTTTTTAATCGTTCTCCTCCAGTCAGAAACTTGTGCAGAAATAACAGAAAACTATGTTTTAATCGTTCTTTCCATTTTTTTATTAATCGTCATCCCGCATTACCAGAGACGGTGTTCTGGACGGATCCAGGGCTGTGAGGGCGCAGCAGTTGCGTTGATTCGCGGTGCTGAAGACCCAGGTTGTCGTCCTGGCACGGCTCGGGATCCCCAAGACGCCACAGTCAGGTTGACCCGTGGCGGCGTTGGCATCCCGAGGACAAGGCTTTGGCAGGTTTCTGGGTCTTCACAGGGTTGCCTTCCAACGAGGCAGTTCCCTCAGTGGAAATGACCCGTTGTAGGGGCCTATCAAGGGGGAGCTTGGAGGGAGGGTTTATTCCAACATAGTTGATGACTCTTGGGTTCCTCCTCCTCCTCCTCATCTTCATCTTCCTCATCATTCTCATCTTCCTCATCCTCATCTCGTCATGCCTCCCCTGATGTCTCCTGCGGAAGCCGCTACTGACCGGGGCTCGCAACAGTCACGCGCTCGCCTTTTTGCGTTTACCATGTTCTTTCGGGACCTGCCCCTGGAGGCAGGCCGACCCATTTCCCAGTTTCAGCATTCCACCTCCTTCCTCCTCCATTCCTTCTCTTTATACATAACTTCTCCCTGACGCATCCTGGGACCAGTTTTAGAGCGGGCCGGGCGTTTCGCCCGACATTTCCTCACCTATTTTGATTCTGAAGCTAACACATTGGCAACAGCTTCACAGATGGAGGACGGGTGTTTTTCAATATGTGGTTCTCGCCTTAGCGCCGCGCACATTCGCTTTAACAATTTGCAAGAGTTGCACGGATTGAGGGTGAGTCGTTTTCAAAATGTGGCTCTCGCTCTAGCGCCGCGCACATTCGTTTTCACGGATTGAGGGCGGTTCCTTTTCAAAACGTGGTTCTCGATCTAGCGCCGCGCACACTCGTCTTAAAACTTTGCAAGAGTCTCACGGATTGAGGGCGGTTGTTTTTCAAAATTTGGTTTTTGCTTTAGCGCCGCGCACATTCGGTCTATCATTTGCAAGAGTATCATTCGCGGTCTCCCATGATCAACGTACCAGAATGGTGTTTTGGAAGGGTTCAGGCTCATGAGGGTGCGCACGTTATGTTGATAGGCGGTGTTCAAGTCCCAGGAATGGCGATTCGGCACGATCCAGGATCGTCAAGACGCAACAGTCAGATTGATCCGTGGCGTTAGAATCTCGAGAACAATGTCTTGGCATGCTGCAGGGTCTTCAAACTGTTGTCTTCCAACGAGGCAGGGTTCATTCCAACATCGCTGGTGCCTCTTGGGTTTACACTGGTCCTCCTCCTCCTCCTCCTCCTCCTCCTCCTCCTCCTCCTCCTCCTCCTCATTCTCTCCCTCATTCCTCAGCCTTTCTTCTCCTCCTCCTCCACCTCCTCCTCCTCCTCCTTTGCTTCTCGTCTGCCCCTCCTCCGCAACACCATCCTCTGCTTCCTCTCTCTTCCTCCTCGTCACTCCTATTCTCCAGAGAAGCGTCTCGGTAGGATCTGTCCTCTGGAGAAGCGCCCGGGTAAGAATCGGCGTTTCAGGTCAGTCTGATCACAGTAGCGTGGGCATATTTGATTGCCTTAATGATGCGCCCCCTCCCCCCACTCGGATATGATTCCATCACGTTCCTTCCGCCTCCCTGGTCCTCCCTCATCTTCCTCCCGCTTTCTCCACTCACTCGTCCTCCCTCTCTCCCTCCTTCTCCGCCTCCTTCCGTCCCTCCCTTTTTTCACCCCTCATCCTACTCCCTCTCTCCTCCTCCTTCTCCTCAGGTCTGGATCTCAACTGTAGAGTGCCGATTTTGCCTGTGCACTTGTCTACGCAACATAGTGGTGGATATCAAAACTCTCCCATCACGGGTGCATGGACTGTGCAGGATGGTGGGTATCACTCCCTTGTCAGTATTCTCTCCTCTCTCCTCTCCTCTCTCCTCTCCTCTCTCCTCTCCTCTCTCCTCTCTCCTCTCCTCCCTCCTGAATGCATCCTGCTCCCTCCCTCATCCTCGTCATTCGCCCTTCCCTTCCTTCTGCGTCGCCTCCCCTCTTTTCACCAGGGTATTTTTCTTTAGCCCTCGCCTTGTTCACTTTTGTCCGCCCCTCGCTCGGCCCCCTAGTCGCACGGCACGCTGTAGTCTGAATGGGGGTCAGCGCTGGCTAGCCCAAGACCTAGGTCTCCTCCTCCTGCTCCTCCTCCTCATTCTTCTCCTCCTCCTCCTCCTCCTCCTCCTCCTCCTCCTCCTCATTCTCCTCCTCCTCCTCCTCCTCCTCCTCCTCCTCCTCCTTCCCCCCCCCCTCCTCCTCCCCCTCCTCCTGTTTCACCGTTTATCCGTCCTCCTTACTTCCTGCTCCCTGCTCCGTCCCTCCTCGCTGCTCCCTGCTCCCCCCTTCCCCTCCCCTTGTCCCCCTCCCCTCCCCTCCCCCCTCCTCCACCCTCCGCCTCCTCCCTGCCTCCTCCCTCTTCCCTGCCCCCTATCCGTCCCTCCTTCCCCCCTCTCCCTCCTTCCCCTCTCCTCCTTCCCCCCCTCCCTCCCCCTCTCCCTCTACTTCCCCCCCTCCCTCCCCCCTCTCCCTCCCTCCTTCCCCCCCTCCTTCCCCCCTGTCTCCTCCCCTCCTCCCCCCTCTCCCCCCCTCTCTCTTCCTCTTCTCAAGCACATGCGGCTCGAGGGCTTCCGTTATGGCTTTGGCTCCATGGGGTAGGACCCCAGTCGTTCCTCGATGCCTCACCGTGGCGCTTGAGTGGCACCCGCCGCCCAGGCCAGCGAGCCTAGGTTGTCGGGTTGGCTAAATCGAGAGGGGATCCAGAGAAATGCTCATGCGCGGTACGCGCGAGAAGGACGGGCAGTGGCAGCAGGGAGTTTGGTTGTTGTCACCGAATCCCGACCCCATCTTCTACTGCGCTGGTTTTGGCGCATGCGAGAAGGGCCAGCATCTTTGTACTGCTCAACCGTTGCCGAATGCGATCTGGGAACATAAGCCTGGCCCGACTGTCATCAGCTACAATGCTCGGATCAGCAAGTGTGGAAAGGGCGGACAGAAGCAGTGGAAAGCCGCTGCTGGGCGAGATGGCAAGGCGCCGCGCGAGCCGCCCCCCATCCGCTACACAGCTTGGACCAGCACGTGCGAGAAGGGCGAGCTGTGGCAGCAAGCAGGTATTTGGCTCGAGCAACGCGTGGTCCCCTCGGCATGCTGTCGCCTATCATGCCATAGTGGGCTAGCGTGCCAGCTTGGGCTCACATCGTATTGTCTCCGCGGCCCGTCGGCGCGTTCTTTGGTACAGTGCCGCATTGGGCCAGCCGCGTGTTTTTGTCGTCTGGGTCGTAATTTTCCTTCTCATCGTGCAGAGTGTCTGTTGTACACCACTGGCTGAGGTATTCACATGTTTCACGCTTTGGAGACGTATTCCAAGTGCGGAAAGGCGCAGAGAAACGTGAGTTGCGTCCAATCAGGCGCAGGGCTTTTCCCAAGTCTTATGTCAATGCTGTTCCCGGGTGGTGGGCCGTGAATTTTCACAATGGTTGTTGTTCCGTGGTGGCTTCCATGTGTGTTGGGCTGCTTGCGGTATTTCCTGGTTGGGGCTTGATATTTCACATTCATTTTTTTCCGGGGGTGTGTGTTTGCCAGTCATGATATTTCGTAGAGTCATTCTCCCAGTGCGTGCGCGCGCCGATCCATGTCGTCCGCGAGCTCAGGGCACGCGTGTTGTTGTGTAATCCCCCAATCGGTGCTTGCACTGAAGGGGTCCTCGCAGAAGTTGAAGGAATTGGCGAAAGTTTCCCGCCGATTGTGGTCGCACGCTGGGTTCCCGGGCTCCCGGTTCCGGGTTCCCGGGTTCCCGGTTCAAGGTGCCGGGCCGATTTCGGACGGCGGCGAGGTTCCCGGGTTCCCGGGTTTTTGGTTGATCTTATCTTCGATCGGTCTCACTATCGATCTCATTAGTCACTCCTATATCGATCTCATTATCGATCTCACAAGCGATATCACTAGAGATCGAATGAACGATCTCGCGATCGATCTCACTATCGATCTCATTGAATCGATTTCACTCTCGGTCTCACGATCGACATTACAGTCGTCCTCACTGTCGATTCCACTATCGATCTCATGATCGATCTCACAATCGATATCACGATCCATAGTATAAGTTTTCAAATCATCCACTGATTGGGGTTTTCTCAGGTGTAATATGGCATCGTCATGGCCTCCACTCCATCCCCTCCCTCCCCTCTCTCCCTCCCTCCTCCCTCCCCCCTCTCTCTCCCTCCCTCCCCCCTCCCCCCCCTCCCCCCCCCCCCTCCCCCCTCCTCCCCCTCCCCCCCCCCTCCCCCCTCCCCCTCCCCCATCCTTCTCTCCCTCTCCCTCCCCCTCCCCCCCCCCCTCTCCTCCCTCCCCCTCCCCCTCCCCCTCCTCCCCCCCACCCCCTACCCTCCCTCCCACTTCCCCCTCCCTCCTCCCTCCCCTCTCTCCCTCCCTCCTCCTCCCCCCCCCCCCTCCCCCCTCCCCCTCCCCCCTCCGCCCCGCGAGCGGCAGGCGCCGGGGCGCCGCCGCCTCGCTGGCGGCGACCGCAGCCCTGGCCGTGGCTTGGCTCGCCTCGGCGGCCGCGGGGCGGCGGCCGCCCGCCGCGGAGGTCGGCGCGGAGCTGCAGGACGCCCCAGCGGGTGCTCGGCGAGCTCGGGGGGCTGGGGGGAGGAGGGGGGGAGGAAGGACAGTGATGGTGAGGGCGAGGGGGAGGGTGAGGATAGGGGGATGAGGATGGGGATGAGGATGCTGATGATGATAACGAGGGCGGTGATTGCTGGTAATTACTGATGCTGATGGTGATGCTGATTTTGATGCGCGTGGTGATGGTGATGATGATGATGATGATGACGATGATGATGATGATGATGATGATGATGATGATGATGATGATGATGATGATGCTGATGCTGATGATGATGACAATGCTGATGATGATGATTCTGCTGATAATGCTGATGATGGTGATGATGATGATGATGATGATGATGATGATGGAGGGGATGATGGTTGTGATGGTGATCGTGGCCATGATGGTAATGCTGATGGTGATCATGATGGTGGTGCTGGTGGTGATGATTATGCTGATGATGATGTTCCGTATGGTCATGTTGATGATTGTGATTGTGATGGTGGTAATGATGATGTTGATGATAATGATGCTACTGTTGACGATGATGATGGTGATTGTGATTGTGATGGTGGTGGTTACGATGATGCTGATGATGATGATGATGCTGATGCCGTTGGTGATGATGGTGAGTATGATGACGACGTTCATGATCCTACTGCTGATGATGATGCTGATGATGATGATGATGATGATTGTGATCGTGAACGTGATGGTAATGGTGGTGGTGGTCGTAATGGTGGTGCTGGTGGTGATGATAATGCTGAGGATGCTGCTGCTGATGATGGTGCTGCTGATGGTGATGATGATGCTGATTATGATGCTGGCGATGTTGATGCTGCTGATGGTGATGATTCGGAGGTTGGGGGGTGAGATCGCAGTGGAACGGAGACCCCCAACCAGAAAGTCGTTTCGTTCGTGTCGTGCGTGCGGGCGAGGCGAAGCTGCGTGCGTGCGCGAGAGGAATAACCCGCCGCTGCTAGGGCAAAGTCAAAACAAATGATTCTCCCCCTCCCGCCCGTCCGGCGGTGGCCCGCGGTGCCCCGCGGTGTCCCGTGGTGTCCCGTGGTGTCCCGCCGTGTCCGCCGTTGCTAGGGTGAAGTCAAGACAAGTTATTCTCCCCCTCCCGCCCGTCCGGCGGTGGTCTGCGGTGTCCCGCGTTGTCTGGTGGTGTCCCGTGGCGTCCTATGGTGTCCGCCGTTGATAGGGCGAAGTCAAGACAAATGACTATCCCCCTCCCGCCCGTCCGGCGGTGGCTCGCGGTGTCCCGCGGTGTGCCGTGGTGTCCCGTGGTGCCCCGTGGTGTCCGCCGTTGGTTGCTAGGGCGAAGCCAAGACAAATGATTCTCGGCCGCCCGCCCGTCCGTCCGTCCGTCTGGCGGTGGCTCGCGGTGTCCCGTGGTGTCCCGTGGTGTCCCGTGGTGTCCCGTTGAGTGGAATGGACAGTGAGATGGATATAGTGAGATCGATATTAAGATCGATGTGGTGCCCCGAGGTGTCCCGTGGTGTCCCAAAAGGTGAGATCGATAATTAGATCGATAGTGAGATCGACAGGTGTCCCAAGGTGTCCCGTAGTGTCCCGTTGAGTGAGATCGATAGTGAGATCGATAGTGAGATCGATATTGAGATCGATGTGGTGCCCCGAGGTGTCCCGGGGTGTCCCGTGGTGTCCTAAAAAGTGAGATCGATATAGTGAGATCGACAGGTGTCCCGAGGTGTCCCGTGGTGTCCCGTTGAGTGAGATCGATAGTGAGATCGATGTGGTGTCCCGCGGTGTCCCGTGGTGTCCCGTGGTGTCTTGTGTTGTCGCGTTGAGTGAGATCGATAGTGAGACCGATAGTGAGATCGAGAGGTGTCCCGTGGTGGCCCGTAGTGTCCCGTGGTGTCCTGTTGAGTGAGATCGATAGTGAGATCGGTAGTGAGATCGACAAGTGTCCCGTGGTGTCCCAAAAGGTAAGATCGATAGTGAGATCGCTTGAGTCAGATGTTGGTTCCCCCCCCTCTCCCCCCACCCCACAACCTCCTTATCACCCGAAGTGTGGTCGTATAGGTACGATGAGTATTATGGTGATGATGCTGATCATGCTGATGATTATGATGCTGCTGCTGATGCGAATACTCAAACTGATGATTGTGATGATGATGCTGCTGATGATGATTATGATGATGACGATGGTGGTGCTCGTGATGCTCACGATGATGATTGATGGTGATGTTGCTGCTGCTGGTGATGATGGATATGATATTGCTGATGATGACGCTCATGATGGTTTTGTTATGTTAACAATGATGATGATGATGGTGGTGACGAGCATTATACTGATACTGATGATGGTGATGATGATGGTGCCGTTGACGATGATTATGATGCAGGTGATAGTGAAGTTGATGATTATGCGAACGATGATGATGGTGATGATGATGATGTTGAGTCCGATGATGCTGATGCTGATGCTGATGTTGCGTATGATGATTACGATGGTGATGATGATGATGATGATGATGATGATGATGATGATTATGTTGATGCTGATGCTGATGATGATGCTGATGATGATGCTGATGCTGTTGGTGCTGATGATGTTGTTGATGATGCTGTTGCTGATGCCGACGCTGATTATGCTGATGCTGCTATTGATGATGGTAATGCTTATGTTCCTGCCTCTGGTGGTAATGTTCATGATGACGCTGATGAGTCTGCGAATGCTGGTGATGATGGTGCTGATGATGCTGACGATACTGATGCTGATGATGGTGCTCATGGTGCTCATGGTGCTCATGAGGATGATGATGCCGATGATGATGATTATGTTGATGGTGCTAATGCTGATGATGATGATGGTGGTGCTGAGGATGATACTGATGATGATGAGTATGCTGATGATGATGAGGGTACTGCTGAAGATGCTTGTGCTAATGATGATGCTGCTGATGACGGTGCTGATGATAATGATGGTGATGATGCTGATGCTGTTGTTGACGATGTTGATGACGATGTTGACGATGCTGATGCTGATGCTGATGATTCTGGTGTTGATGATGATGATGCTAATGGAGATTATGTCGATGCTGATGTTGATGATGACGATCCATCGTATGAGTATGATGTTTAAGATGGTGATGATGATGAGTATCATGATGAGTGTGGTGATAGTGCAGATGATAATGCTGAGGATGCTGCTGATGAGGCTGCTAATGATGATGATGATGATGATCAGATACCGATGCTGGTGATGATGATGATGATGATGATGATGATGATGATGATGATGATAATGATGATGATGATGGTATTGTTCATGATGTTGATACTGATGATGATGACGATGCTGCTACTGCGATTGATGATGATGCTGATGATGATTGCGGTGATGGTGATGGTGGTGGTGATGGTGATAATTGTGATGATGATGAATATGTTGATGCCGATTAGACGTTCATCACGCTGCTGATAGCGATGCTGATGATAATGCTGATTATGCTGGTGACGCTGATGATGACGATGCCGTTGACGATGCGGCTGATGATGGGGATGGCGATGCTGACGCTGACGCGAATGTTGGCGCTGATAATGATGCTGCTGCTGATGATGATAATGATGATGATACGGATGATGGTGTTGGTGATAGTGATGGTGATAACGATGATTGTGGTGGTGGGTGTCGGTGGTGGTGATGATCGTGATGATGATGATGATGATGATGATGATGATGATGATGATGATGATGATGATGATGATGATGATGATGATGATGGTGGTGGTGGTGATGATGATGATGTTGTCATGATGTATGGTCGCATGGAGGTCGAAGGACAGTCAAGTCAACGTCTACGTTGGCACAGGTGGGGAGCCGACAACACTGGTGTGCAACACCAGCTTAGCCATCGCAGTGCACTGCGGCGAGTGCTGCACCCCTCCGCGTGCCGCAGCACCTGCGAGTGAGACAGGAGCGACCTGTCCCAGGCAATACAGGCCCGGAGGAACCGAAGCGATGATGGCCCATGGCCGCCATCGCCCACAGGTGGGAACCGCCGCGAGTGAGCCACCGCCTGTGGTAACCGCCCTTCTTCCGCTGGTCGAGCGCTTTCTGGTCGTTGTACAACTCGTCCATGGCGTAGGAGCCGCCGCGCGTCGAAATCGTCTGCGTAGGAGCCGCCGCAGCAGGAGCCACCCCTGCGTGCGTAGGAGCCGCCGTGCGTGGAAGCCGCCGTGCGTGGGAGCCGCCTGCGTGGGAACCGCTGCCGTGGGAGTCGTTTCCTTGGGGGTCGCCTCGGGGGCCGCCGTGGGAGCTGCCGCGGGGGCCGCCGCCGTGGGAGCTGCCGCCGTGGGCCCCGCCTCCGTGGTGGACCGCCGCCGTGGGAGTTGCCGCCGTGCGACTCGCCTCCGTGTGGAAGTACCCGTCGTGAGAACCGCCGTTGTGGGAGCCGTGGGAACTGCTACCGTGGCAGTCCTCTCCATGGGAGCCGCCACGGCAGGAGCCGCCATAGTGGGAACGGCCGCCGCGGGAGCCGCCTCATTGGGGGCCGCCCCCGTGGGAGGCACCGCCGTGGGAGGCGCCGTCGTGGAAACCGCCGCAAGTAGGAACCGCCACGAGTTGGGCCGAAGCTGAACACCACATACAAGCCGAAAGGAAGAGGACGCAGTGACACCAGATGGGCCGGCCAAGCCCATAGACTGCCTGTAGCCGATGCCGCCAGCGTGCGCGGGACATCTGGAACCCGAGGGGAAGATGGAGGTGGGCGCGGCACCGCCGCTGCTGCCAGAAAACTGGATCAGGTGCAGGAAAATTATGGTTTATGGCCCCGCGAATGTCAAACGACAAGCAACGTCTACGTGGGCACAACCGGGGAGCCGACCACGCTGGTGTGAGACACCAGCTTGGGCATCGCATAACACTGGGGCGAGTGTTGCTGCACCCCGCCGCGTGCCGCAGTACCTGCGAGTGAGGCAGGAGCGACCTGTCCAGGGCAGCACAGGCCTGAGGAACCGAAGCAATGATGATGATGCTGATGATGATGATGATGGTGGTGGTGACGATGATGATGCTGATGATGATGATGATGATGATGATGATGATGATGATGACGATGAGAATGGTGATGATGATGCTGGTGATGCTTGAGATGCTGATAGCGGTAAATGGTGATGGTGACGGTGATGGTGATGCTGATGACACTGGTGCCGATGATGACGGCGCCGGGGGTGATGATGCGGATGGTGATGGCTAATTTTCGTGATGTCGATCGTGATGATGACGGCGGGGATGGTGGCGGTGGTGACGAATTATGGTGGCACGGCGGCCGCAGGACAATCGACGCCTACGTGGGCAACAGCAGGGAGCCGACAGCGCTGGCGTGCAACGCCAGTCTGGACGCCGCAGTGCTGCGGCGAGCACTGCTGCACCCCGCCGCGCGCCGCAGCACCTGCGAGTGGGAAGAAGGCGTCGTGACCCAGGCACGACGGGCCCACGGAGGAACGAGCACGGCATGTCGGGGACACTTACTTTGATAGTGAGGACACACAGAACGCCATCATCCAGAAAAAGGAGGGGCCACAGTCGTGAACACCACGAAGCTCGCACCCACGAGCTTGCTTACCACGAACCCGCCGCCCATGAGCGTGAACGCCACGGAATTGCCGCTTAAGAACGTGGGCGCCACGAAGCTGCGGCCCACGAGCACGGGCACAAGCGCGAACATCACGACATTGCAACCCGCGAGCGAGAAGGCCGCGAAGCTGACGCCCATGAGCGTAGCCAAACACCAAGAAATGTCCGCGTCAAGCGTGAACGCGTCGAAGCTGCCGCCCACGAGAAATGAGACCACGAAGCTACGGCTCACGAGCGTGAGTACCACGAAGCTGTTGCCCACGAGCGCGAACACCACGTAGCAACAGCCCACGGGCGCGAACACCCCGCAACTGCTGCCCCCGAGCGCGAGCACCCCGAAGCTGCCCTCCCACCAGCGGGAACGCAACGAAGTTGCCGCTCACGGGCGCGAAGACCACGAAACTGATGCCCACGAGCGTGAACACGAAACCGTCTCTCACGAACGCTTGCGCCACAGAGCTGCCGCACACGAGCGTGATCCTCACGAAGTTGCCGCCCACGACTTTGAAAACTACGATGCTGCCGCCAACGAGGGTGAAAACCACGAAACTGCCGCCCCTGAGTGTGAACACCACGTAGTTGCTGCCCACGACCGTGAGCACCACGAAGCTGCCGTCACGAGCGCTGGACACCACGAAGCTCCCACCCACGAGCGCGACAATCACGAAGCTGCCGCCCACGAGCCTGAACACCACGAAGCTGCCTCCCACGAACGAGAACGTCACGACAGTGCCGCCTGCGAATGTGAACGCCGCGAAGCTGCTGCCCACGAGCGTGGACGCCACAAAGATGCCGCCCACGGGTGTAATGTTCACGAAGTTTCCGCCATCGGGCTTGAACACCACGAAGCTGATGCTCACGAGCGCGAGCGCCACAGGAGCCGCGCAGGCTTGGACGAACATGATCTCAATGAAGCTGCCGCCCACGAGCACCAACACAACGAAACTGCAGGCCACGAGCATGAAGAACACGAGGCTGCCGCCCACAATCTGAAAGACCGTGACAGCGCCGCCTGCGAGTGAGAAGACGATGAGCCTGTCTCCCGCGCGCGCGATGACCACGACGTTTGTGCCCCCGGCGGAGGGGGGGCCAAAAAGACACCAATGAGCGTCGAGACCACAGAGACGCGAAGGGCCCAAACGTACGACGAAGAGCTTCATATTTCCACGATGCCAAGCCACGCCCTCGACAGAGCGAGCGGGAGTCTGACGTTGAACACCACTGTTCATCAGAAAATGTATACCACGAAGTGGGTGTGTGTGTGTGAGGCTGCGACGGCGCATTGGTGGTTTCTCCACCCGATAGCAGCACCCAAAGTAAAATCGAAGCAAGAGGTAGACAATGCAGCGGCACCAGATGGATCGGCAGAGCCCATAGACTGTCTGGCGCCGATGCCGGCAGCGCACGCGGGACACCTGGGGCCCGCGGGAAACAGGTGGACGTAAGGCCCTGCGCCGCCGTTGCTAAAAAGGCTGGATAGGATGCAGGATGATGATGTCTGGTCGCATGGCTGTCAGAAAACAACCAACGTCTACGCGTGCACGTGCGGGGAGCCGACCACGCTGGCGTGCAGGACCTAGCTTGGACTTCGCAGTGCACTGCGGCGAGCGTTGCTGCACACCGCCGCACGCCGCAACACCTGCAGTTTTAGACAGGAGCGACGTGTTCCAGGCATCGCGGGCCCGAGGAGGAAAGAGCACGACATGCCGGGAGCAGTTATTTTGATAATGATGATGATGATGTTGATGATGACGGTGGTGCGAACGGTGATGATGGTAGTGTGAGTAAAATGATGGCGGTGGTGATGGTGATGATGGTGATGGCGAGGATGTTGATGGTGATGTGGTGGTGACGATGGCGGTGATGATGGTGATGATGGATCATGATGGCAAGGATGGGGGTGATGATGATGATTACTCTGATCAGGGTAATGATGAGCATAAGGGTGAGGATGAGAATGATGAGGATGGTGATGACTCGGATGGCGATGATGATACGGATGCGGATACGGATCCGGATACGGATGTTGATGAGGAGGAGGGTGCAAACAGAAGGCGGATAACGTGGATCCGCATTATCATGGACATGGTCATGCCTATGAGGATGAGGACGACGATGTGGCTGCGGATTGCGAGGGGACGTTTAATTATGAATTCGGTGCCAAATATGATGATTATTAAGATGGTTATGGCGCGATGAATATGATAATGGTTGTAATGGTGGTGGCGATGATGAGGACGATGGTGATGGTGATGGTGGTGGTAGTGATGGTGACGGTGGTGATGGTGATGGTTTTGATGGTGGCGGTGGTGGGGAGGAGGAAAAGGAGGAACAGGACGGGAATGATAGTGAGGATGGCGATGACGATGACGATAATAAATATAAGGATGATGATGCTGATGCTGATGGTGATGATGATGGAAATGATGGTAATGATGGTGAAAGTGAGGATCTGGATGAGAAATATGAGGCGGAAGAGGAGGAGGAAGAGGAGGAGGAGGAGTAGGGAATAGGGGATGGGTGCGTGCTCCCGGCACGCACCTGGCGCGCACGGCCGAGGACGTGGTCGGGCTGTCGGCGGACGAGCAAGTTCGTCGCCAGGCTCGGGGGGGGCGGCGGGGGAGGTGCGCCGATTTCCTCTGGCTTCTGCTGTTGTATCTCCTCCGTCTCTTCCTCCTCCTCCTCCTCCTCCTCCGCCTCCTCCTCTTCCTCCTCCCCCATCCTTTTTTCCTCATGGATAATTCCTTCCTGTCGCGCCCCAGTGCAGTGATGGCAGCGGTGCCCAAGCGCCGTGCGCAGGGCTGGCGCATGGCCTCTGCAGATCTGCATGTCTGTCGCGCCCCGGGGCCAGTCGGAAGGACTGTCTGCGCGTCTCGCCCGAGACTTCCTGTACCACTCGTGACCCTAGAGCTTAGATCAGTACGTGAATTACCTACCCCGCTTTCGCTTCCAGGCAAAACCAAGTCATACCACGCGCCTCCTCGTCAAGCGGCCTGACCAGTACAGGCCGTAGTTTGGCATCGCTTGGTATCTCTTGGAAGCGAGGGTGGTCAAAAGCGAGGTAGGTTTGTTTTTCCCCGATTAACAGCTGGAAGCAGTTCCGTGGATGGAGAGGGCCGCTCCCACAGTGCGGTTCTCGCGCTAGCGCCGCACGCGCTCGTCGTAAGCATCTGCAGGAGCTTCGCGGATTGAGGGCGGGTGGTTTTCAAAATGTTGCTCTGGCCTTCGCGCCGCGAGCGTTCGTCTTGAGAGTTTGCAAGAGTTTTGCGGATTCAAGGCGGTTCCTTCCCCAGATGTGGCTCAAGCCTCAGCGCCTCGCCAACTCGTTTCAACAATTGGAGGAGCTTCACGACTTCCCAGTGTCATCGTAGCAGAAGGGTTGTTTTTTCAACAAAAAAAGGATTCAGGGTTCTCAGGCCGATACTGTTACGTTGACTCGCAGCATTGAAGCCCTGGGAATGGTATCGTGGCATGCTTCCGGCTCGTCATGGTGCAACAGTCAAGTTGCATCGTGGCGTTGGAGTCCCGGAAATGGCGCCCTGGTGCGCTTCCAGATTTTCAAACGGTTGTCCCCCACCACGGCAAGTCCCTAAGTGGAACATGAGCCCTTGTATGGGGGCTGTAGAGAGGGAGCTCCTGAACGATGTTGGAGGGTTTGTTCCAACATCGTTCATGAACCGTGTATGTACACTGGTCTTCCTCCTCCTCCTCCTCCTTCTCCTCCTCTTCCTCCTTCTCCTCCTCCCTGCTTGTGCACCAGTTTTCCTGAGATGTCTTGAGCACGGCACGCCCTCCATCCCTGCAACTGCTACATGTTCTGAGGACGCACGTGCGCCGCGCTCCTGCGAGAGTTCCACGTTGAAAAACCACCCGCCCTCCAACATCCTAACTGTTGGAAGTTGCTAGCTTCAAGGTCACACACTGCGAGGAAGTCTCGGGCGGAACGCCCGGCCGCGCGCGTTCTTTTCTTATGGCTCGCAGCAGCTACATGCGGTGCCTGCGGCGAATCATCGCCCCCTAGCCTTTTTGAAATGCCCATGCGGCCAAACGGTTGGCTGAAGCCTGGCCAAGTTATTGGACTATGTGTTCCCCCGGCCGTTGTGGAACCCCTTGGGGGGAACATTGGGGAGAGGAAGACATAGGAGGAGAAGGAGAGGGAGGAGGAGGAGGAGGAGGAGGAGGAGGAGGAAGAAGAGGAGGCCTCTTGAGGCCTTCTTGAGGCCTCCCGGGGGGGGTCCTGGGAGCCTTTGGAGGGCCTGTTTGGGACATCCTGGGGCCTCTTGGGGTTCTTCCGCGGCCTCTTCGGGACCTCTTATGGGCCTCTGGCGGCCTCCAGGACCTCTTGGCCTTCGGAGGTCGTTTTGGGGCCTGCTTTAGAGTCGTCTTGGGGGTCTCTGGGGGTCTTGGGAGCATCGTGGGTTGTCTTGAGGCCCTCTTGGGTCGTATTACGGCCCTTGCCTGTTGGGCCGTATTGTGGCGATCTTGGGGCCCTTTGGGGCCCGTCTTGGAGCGTCGGAGGCCCGAAACGGGGACAACAATGCATTCATTGCAAATCCAATCGGGAATCAATGAATTTGGCATCATCGAGGTCCTCGTGGAGCTCTCTTGGGGCGTCTCAGCAGCGGCATCTTGGCCTTCAGAGGCCGTCTTGCGTCCTCCCTGGGCAGTCAGGGGTCCCCCTTTGGGCGCTTCAGGGCCGCCTTGGATGTCACCGAAGCCGTCTTGGAGGCCTCTTCGACTGTTTTGGGGCCGTCTTGTGGGTTTCTTGGGGGCCTCTTGGGCTGTATTGGGGCGATCTTGCCCGTCTTGGAGCGTCGGATGCCCGAAAAGGCGAGAACGCTAAACACATTGGAACGCCTACGGGACACTTTGGGTTTGGGCCTCCTGGAGGTCCTCTTGGAGCAGTCATGCGGTGTCCAAGGGGCCTTTCGGCCCTCAGAGGTTGTCGTGGGCCCTCCTTGGGCAGTCGAGGGTTACTCCAGATTTCGTAATAAAGGGAGGGGGGTCTCATTTCGGGGGGGGTCTCTTCCAGGCTATCTTGGAGGGCCTCGGGGGTCTGGGGACGATGTCTTGGAGGGTTCTCCCACGGGGGAGGTCTGAAATGGCTTGTCTTGAAAGGTCCAGACCCCCTCCCTTTTATTACGAAATCTGGAGTACTCGTTGAGCGCTTTAGGGTTGCCTTGGAGGTCTCTTGGGCCGCCTTGGGGGCATCTTGGGCTGTCTTGGGGCCCTCTTGGGCAGTTTTCGGGCCTCTTGGGGCCCTCTTGGGCCGTTTTCGAGTGTCGGATGATACCCGACAAGGTGAGAGCGCTAAAATACTGAAGCACTTGAGGCAAATCGAAGATTTTGGCCTTGGAGCCCTCTTGGGGCGTCTGAGGGGCTTCTTGGGCCGTCTGGAGGCATCCTGGGCCGTCTTGGGGCCATCTGGGCCGGCTTGGAGACGTAGTGGGACCATCTTGGAGACCCTCTGGGCCGTCTGGGAGGCGTCCTGGCGGCCATCTTCGGCCGCCTGCGCCGCCCTGGCACGACTGGCTGTGGACATCGAAGGAGGAGGAGGAGGAGGAGGAGGAGGAGGAGGAGGAGGAGGAGGAGGAGGGCTCATTAGAAGTTTCAAGCAAATCAAAATTGCCGAACACCTGGCACGCCGTGCACCCGTGCAGCAAGCACAGGGGCCGCCGTTCGAACGGCCGTCGGCCCATCCCGCCACCGTGCCTGGGTTGTGGGTCGTAGGCCTCTGGGATGTTCGTCGGGATGTCATGGCCCCGTCTCCCCTCGCTTTCCTCAACGGCACCGTAACGGGTACTTACTAACGGGTACTTTGCAAATTTGCCGAAGGTTGCCGCTTTAGGGCCTCTTTCTGGCAATGCAGCGTTGCCCGCATCGGGAAGGGTTGGGTTCGCTGGGTCACTGGCCAAAGTACCCGTTAGTGGAGTCCCCGTTTGTGGGGCGCTGATTTCCTTTTCTCTTTTGGCACCGAAGTTCCTTGATAAGCGCCCGATGCGCGCCACCCCCGCCGACAACCCCAAGTCGACCCGCGCCGCCGACGCCCACCGCGCGCCGAAGAAGCTCCGCCGCCGGCGTTGCGTTCCGACGATGTTCGGTGGACTTTTGTCGTGCCCCACCCCTCCGCCTTCTCGTCCCCCTCTCCCGCCTGCTTCTCCTCCTCCCTTCCCTTCCCTCCCTGTGGATACCTTCGGCAGGAGCAAGGGCGCCTAGGCCGCGAGACGAGGCGAAGCCAGTCTGGCACTGCAAGTACTGAAAGTACGACCGCGGGCCAAAGTTGGGCATGCCGTGTCTCACGCTCGGGCCCAAGAAGGTGCGCCACTTTCACGGCAGTGGCAAGTCCGACTGGTTCATGGGTAAGGTGCGAGGTAAAGAGGGAGTACGCCTGCGTCAGCCAACCAGTATGGCGCCTGCCCGTGGACGGCGAGGTAAAGATGGCTGGCCAGAGAATTCCGCCAAGCACGTAGGCATGCAGAGCGCGTTGGCTCGCCTTCGTGAGGAGGTCCAGGTTCTGCGCGCATCTACCGCCACGAAAGGAGGCCCTCTCGCTGCAGCTACAGCGGTGGCAACGGGGGGATAGAATGATAGTGATGAGTCTCAGAAGTAGCAGTTAGAGCTTCTGAAAGACCAGCTTCGGGGTCTCAAGTCCATCAGGCGCCAGACGGCGGACGTCCTGGTTTGCATCGAGCACGCTAGGGAGCAGAAGCGCCAGTTCCTCGACGCTATCAGGTCGAAGAAGCCGCTGGTCACGCAACTGTTCCTGCTGCCGAAAAAGCCCAAGCCCAAGCAAGAGGCCATCGCGAAGCAGGAGCTGGCGGTGGCGAAGGCGACCGAGGCGGTGGCCAGGGCAGAGGAGGAGCTCGAGGAGGAGCAGGAGCGGGCCGTGGCGCTGCAGGTTGAGGCTGCGGAGATGGAGCAGAATGTGTGGGAGATCAATGGTGCGACCCCGAAGACCCCTGAGGCGGCGGAGGAGGACGTCGATGGCGGGCCCGACCTTGACTTCGAGGCCCCGGGCAAGCTGCTCGCGGAGCGGGGCGCTGCGCCACGGGCATGGTCGTTGAGAAGATCGCGTTCGCCCCGAAGACAGCGGAGCGCGCGCCTCGTCGGCCCCCCGCTGTCCGCCCGCGGCCAGGCGCAGCGCCTGGCGAAGAGGGCGCGGAGGGTAGCGAGAGGGGCCTGCCTGGCGCCGAGAGGTTCAAGGAGGCGGCGGACAGCGCGCTAAACGAGGCGCTGCGGGCAAGCTTGGAAGAAGCGGGAGTCGAAGTACCTGCCGCCGATGGCCGGGCTCGCCGCGCGGCTCACAGGCTGGCGACGGCTTCGAGCAGGCGGGCACACTAGCGCGATGCGCTTAATTGTTTTGCGGGCGCTTGGCAGCGCAGCACATGCGCCCACGAGGGTTACGACGTAGGTCCCAAACGGCGCGGCAGTGGACGGCGAAATGAAGTCCGCCAAAGGTGTTCTTACCACGGCCAATGTCTCGCGCGCGAAGGGGTTGACGAGGCGCCTTGCCGACGAGCCCAGGGGCGACCTGTCTGCGGCCGTTCAGGGGCACGGGGCCCAGGGCGACAAGTTGAGCTCGCTGCAGGGCGAGTCGAAGG